AAAAAAAACCGTTTAATTATAAATAATACGAAACCGTAACACAAAATCTGTGACTGTTTTATTATGTGTAAGAGATTCTACTCGTTATATGTTTTATTATAAATATAATTCAACAATTTACCCTTATTTGATTTTTTTGAATAAATATACTGTTATAAAAGTATATTTTATTGAGAGATCGATACTGATATTTTTTAAATATTCCTCTAGCCTGACCAAAACAAGATTCAAAAATATGAATATCTATGTAAAAGATTTATCAGGGCGGTATTGTGGTGACCCAATATGTCCCGGCACTAGAAAGCGCCTTGAAAGGATGCGGCACAATAATCACCAAGATAAAATTTAACGCTAAAAATATATTCGTAAGTTTCTTTAAGCTGTCTGCCGACACGATATTGGTTAAAACAAATACATTAAGCTCATTGGCTAGCTACCCAGTAAGTATAGAGTCGCAATACATTTAGTCCAACAAAAATATTATTAAATTAGTAGGGGCGGACCTAGGGGAGATTTGGGTGGTGAGCTGACCCACCGTTTTTTTTTTCAATTAAATGTGGCCCCTTAAAATCACAAACTATACACTTTTTTAAATTTTAATATTGTATATAAAACCACAGTAATAAAAAAATAATAATAATAATTTATAAACTATTCTCAGGCTTAAAAATATTTCTATAAATAAAACACGTTAAGACTGAGTATTGAAGTATAAAAACGTGTAGAAAATCGTAAGGCCGACGCAAATTCATTGAAATAATGTTTTTATAGAATTTCTTATCGCATTATTAGTGCAATACAAAAATAATTTTTCAATTTATTTAATAAATATCATGGGACATCGATATAGATGATAATGTAAACTATTTTTTTGTATTTCGTATTTTACTATTGTGTCAACGAGTTCTATATTGTGCTGTGCTTGTGTAAAATATTGATGATGGAACCTCCTAGTAAAAAAATGAGACTCTCCGGTGGAGCTAGACGGTTAAATAAAGTAAAAGAAAAGGCAGTTAAAGGCAATCAAAGTATACTGTTCTTTATAAAATCAAATACCAGTCAAGAACCACCTTTGGAGTATAATTGTAGGGAAGATAATCTACCCACTTTACCTTCTATTAGTAAGTATTTTAATTTCAAAAATGAATTATTTATCGGTAAAAATTTTTAGTATTTAAAATATAAGTACATTAGTTACCTACTAAAAAAATTTAACCACACATTGACTTTAGACGTGTCCAGACCTCTGTGGTCCAGTTATACAATTTAATTTTTTTACTTACTAGAGCGATATATATTCTATAGAATAAAAAAATAATATAAATTTCACACAAAATCAAAATAACACTAGTTGACAAAATTGAAATTTTTTAGTTACAATCATGAAACTATGCACTGATTTCAAATCTGTTTTTAAAATTTTTCTATCACGTCTAGTTTTTGAGATATTTATATATTTGTAAAAATGCTAAGAATTAACGTATAACAGAGATTTAAAAATGGAGAAAAAATTGTTTTTATTATTTTTTTATTTTTGTTAACAGATCATGACATTCTACTTTCAACTCGTTTCGTAAAAGAAAAATTATTAATTCAAACATCTCAAAAAACAGAATATTCAAAATATGAACCAACAGACTTAATTCATTTGAATGATAATGTACCCCAAATGAGCAGTTGTTTTTCTATTCAAACTAATAAACAAATTGTACTTGCTCATGATAATGTTTTGTATTCCAAGTTAATTGATAGACGCTATAATTACCCATCAGACCCATATTTATTTATTGACACTACATTAACACCTCAAATAATTGGAACTATTGTTGAAGTAGGGCCTTGTCAACCAGGTATTAATAATAACGATTATGTTTTTCTCGAAAATGAGTCCGGCAAAAAATTTTCGACCAACTGGTATAGTAAAGAAGTTAAATCAGGAATGATTTACAAAAGAAATTGGTTAGTAAATTCCCCTAAAGTTAATAAAATGTTTTGTTTCCCTTGTTTTTTGTTCCGATCTGTATCTCAGCATAGTTATCAATGATCTAATCCTAATCAAAGTGTTTCTAATTTTCATAAGAGATATGAAAAAATTATTAAACATGAAAAATCCAAAGATCACAGAGTAGCAGAAAATGAATATTTAATTTTAAAAAGTAGAGTCTTAAAATATTTAACTTTTCAACAAAACTTAATTAAAATTGAAAAATGTCAAACAGAATTTAATCGAAGTGTGTTAAGACGGTTAATCGACTTATCTTTATTTCTATGAACAAATGGACTTCTTTTTCGAGGGCACCGAGAAGATATTAATCAGGAAATACTAAGTAAAGGTCTTTTTATTGAAATAGTGAAGCTTGTGTCAAAATATGATGCTGTTCTAGCTAAACACTTGGCTGAATCAAACCAAAATTAAATATACTTGAGTCTTAATATTTAAAATGATATACTTAAATGTATGACAGATGAAACATTACATAANAAATGTATGGCAGATGAAACATTACATAAAATATTAAATGAAATAAAACAAGCAAAGTATTTTACGATTATTGTAGATTCGACATTAGATATTGGAAGAATTGATCAATTTTCTTTTAGCTTGAGATTTGTAGATCAACAAGGAGACAAAGAAAATTTTCTATGTTTTGAAGAACTACCTAATGCAACTGTAAATGATTATTTTGTCATCATGGAAGAATATAAATTACATATTTCTTTATGTCGTAATTAAGCTTATGATGATGCTAATACCATGTCTGTGCAAGTTTCTGGCTTGCTATTAAAAATTAAAGATTTATCACCATTAGCACTATACGTTCATTGTTGTGCTCATAATTTAAATTTGGTACTTATAGATTCTATTAGATCATCTATTAATGCAGTTTGATTCTTTGGTACTCTTGAGGCATTATATACATTTATAACACATAGTTTAACACGACTAAAAATATTTGAGGAAGAACAAAAGAAAATTGATGGCTTAGTATTAACACTAAAGCAACTTTCAGAGACAAGATGCGCAAGTTATAAACGTGCAGTAGACTCGGTGTACATAAACTTACCAGCAATTGTTAACTCATTACAGCGAATTGCTGATGGAGAACTTTTTAATACAAAATTAAAAACCATTTCAGAAGCACAAGGATTACTTTTTCAAATGGTGAATTTTAAATTCAGTTTTTTATTAGTTTTATGGAAAAATATACTTAGAAAAGCTAATATTTTATTAAATTAATTATATAGTTCTAAATAAGATTTAATAACTGCACATGATATGTTTTTTAAACATGTTTTTTAGATATTTCATCTTTAAATGAGGTACATTTTTTAAAAATAAAATGTAATGCAATTGAATTGTGTGAACAGTTTGGAGGCAAAAATGACTTTGAGCAAGAACGTAAAAGAACAAAGAAGAAAATGCACGGTAAAAGTAATTTGGAAAATATTACGGAGTCTGCTGATGAAAACTTTAAATATAATACATATTTTATTATTTTGAATTCATTTTTCCGTTTTGTGATGATTTCTCTAACATCGTTAAAAAATTTGAAGTACTTAATTCAAAGAAAATGTCTATAGAAAACATAGATGAAAATACTGTTTCTATTAAACATTTATCAAAATTTTATGAAGTTGACATAGATGAAATGGATATAGAAGCTGAATATCGTTCGTTTTGTCTGATTTACCATCAAGTTTATAATGAAACTGAACTTTTAAAATTAAATGAAGTATTAAAGCTTATGATATCTCGAGACATGGTTTCTTCATATCCAAATTTATATATTTTGTATAAAATATTTTATACACTTCCAGTTAGCATTGCAACCGCGGAAAGAAGTTTCAGTCGGCTTAAACTTCTTAAAACATATCTTCGCTCAACTATGACTGAAGTCCGGCTATCAAATTTGGCTAAATTGAGCATTGAGCGCAATATAACACAAAAAATTGACTTTAATAATGTTATAAATACATTTGCTTTATTGAAAAAGCGAAAAAAATTATTGTAGAGTTCTTTGCCTTTATAATATTTATTTTCTCCTACTTTTATTTTAAATTTGTATATTATGACAAAAATAAAACTTAATTCAGGTTTGTATTATTTTTGTATGGGATTAGAATTCAAAATAATTTCCTAATTAATTTAATTTAAAAAATTAAAAAAATTAAATAAATTTACTGTAACTATAAATTTAAAAACTAAAATAGGTTTAGTGCTTCACTTATTGATTTATAATAAATAAAAACACTAATTTATGTAACAGAAAAAATGTAGACGGTTTATTGCTTAAACACTAAGAAAATTTATATAAAAATTATATTAATGCACTACGTGTACTTAACTATTTATGTTAAAAATTAGTATTAAGAATTTTATGAATTTGGAAAGGATATCCACATGTGTTTTATAGATTTCAGACAGGCATACGACAGTATTAATCGAGAGAAACTGTGGATGGTACTAGAGGAATTTGGAATCCCAAAAAAACTTATCCATCTGATAAGAGAATGCTACACACATACCTTGTGCAAGGTAAAGTTTGGCAACGGTTTATCGGAGAGCTTTGAAGTTAAAACTGGCCTTAAACAGGGTGATGCACTATCACCAGTCCTTTTTAATTTGGCGCTTGAAAGGTGGTCAGGTCAATGCCAATGAGTCAAGGCATGGAGATTCTGTTCAAAAATACGCTCCTTGCCTATGCAGACGACATAGTTATTATAGGAAATACCCGACAAGAACAAATGATTTAATTAAAGCAGCAAAGCCAATGGGCCTGGAAGTAAACCAGGGAAAAACAAAATATTTAGTCATGACGAGAGGAACAAGGGACAACTCTCACCTAGTAGTTGAAAACTATACTTTTCAACAAGTGAGTGATTTTAAATATCTTGGGGTAAACATAAGCCAACAAAATAATATGCACAACGAAATTAAAATAAGGATATCTGCCGCTAACAAGGGTTACTATGCTTTAGAAAAATTATTCAAATCAAAACTTCTTTCTAGACGATCAAAGGAACGACTATACTCAAGCTTCCTACGGCCAGTGTTAACATATGCGTGTGAAACATGGTCAACAACTAAAGGAGATGAGGAAAAAATGGCTTGTTTTGAAAGAAAAGTACTCATAAGGATATATGGTCCTATTTTAGAAAATGAAGTGTGCAGAAGAAGAACTAATAGAGAAATACAAAAAATTTATCGAAAACCTGGTATTAACGCTTTCCTCATGAGCAAACGAATTAAGTGGGCAGGGCATGTATGGAGGTCAAATGGAATTTTAAAGAAAGCACTAGAGGGAAAAATAAATGGGAAAAGACCTAGGGGCCGCCCAAGACAGCGCTGGATAGACAGGGTCAATGATGACCTTAACAAATACAACCAGGAAGTGACGATAGCAGACAGCGTTGATAGAGATAGGTGGAGGAATGTAGTAGAGGCAGCGAAAGTCCTTCAAGGACTGTAAAAGCTGAAGAAGAAGAAAAAGAAGACTTGTTGTGGAAATAAATATCAAATAATATCTTAAACATTACATCTTCTTAAAATTATTTTATTTTAATAACAAATCCAACCTAACTTTAGATTTCACAATTCCGCCTTGATAAATTTTTTACATAGATATAGATATTTCAGAATCTTGTTTTAGCCAGACCAGAGAAAAATTTAAGAAATATCGGTATTGATCTCTCAATAAAATATACTCTCTAAAAAATACTTATTCAACAGACGTAAAAAAAAATCAATAAGTAAAAAATTAAAATTATATTTATAATAAAATACAGAGTGTTTAGAATCAATCACAAGTAAGAACAGTTGTAGACTTTGTGTAATTAAATCATATTATTTAAAGTCTTGAATCGTTTTTTGTAAGTAATTATATAGACTATATGACGTATAGTGTAAATTGTATTCGTAGTGCGTTTGATGCGGAAATCAACACTGGATTACTTGAAATATTATTGTATTACATAGGACGTAAGGTAAGTACAGTTTAACCTATGTTTTCGAACTTCCAACAATCTATTGCGTGATAAACAATTAATAATTTATGAGAGAAATAATTAATGAGAAAATTAATTAAAATAAATTGAAGACATTAAATCTACTAAAANTAATGAGAAAATTAATTAAAATAAATTGAAGACATTAAATCTACTAAAAACTCATAAAATTAATAAATATAATAATGTACAAATTTCCAACCATATTTCTATTATTAACAAATTTCTCTACTTTAACCTTAACCATAATCTTCTCTTTTTACCATTTCTTTCTTTTTATTTTTGGTTTATTACAATTGTAACCTTTAGCTCATAATAAATATTTACCATTAAATAAATAAGTTAATTTTGGTTTATTATAAAAATAAATTAATTTTAAAATGTTTAAGGTTTAAAATATTAATTAACATTTATTTCCATAATAAAATAAAAAATAAAACATCACTATTTAATGAACAAATAAATTTAAGATAAAAAATTCACCAAAACAATATTCACTTCAAAATTATTCTAAGTTCTGTTTAATTTAAGAAAATAATTCAAGTCCAAATTAAATAGAAAAAAATATTAAGTCTTATAGAGTAAGAATAATACATATAATATGTATATTATTACATAAAATTATAACACTATTGTTACATTATAACATAAAATAATATTTTATTAAAAATGTATAAAAAACAATTAATAAAAAAATTAAAATTAAAACAATCTTAAGATTAATAGTGACACAATGTTGAGATGAAAGCTAAATTATTTGATAATTTAATAAAAAAACATTTACATTTAATATTACATAAATAAATACAATTTAATTCAGACATTTTGGTAGTGTCAACAATATACACTCCAATTTTAAAAGAAGATAAAGGCGTAAAAGTTCAGTCCGTACCCTCTTCCCAGCAACACAGGTTGGAAAAGAAGTCGGGAGAACGGATAAAGCCACCTACCCCCATGCCGAGATCCAAACCACCATCGGAAGTCTCCAGTATTGTTACGGAAGACATTCAGATGGACATAGAGGACCCGGTAGAGGGAGAGGTAGTGCCATCTCCCGACCATCTCAGTGAAGACATCGAGACCTTCCTCAATCCAATACCACCATCTGCTCCCTAGATCTCCTTGCTCTTTCCTTCCCAATCCTATCTCCTCCTGGGTGTGTCACCCGCTATCCTTAGAGGAAGGCGATAGTGAAATTCTCAGAAAGCCCGTGTTCCCGAAAGGGACTTAGCGATGCTATAAAGGAGAGGATATAGAGGAAGAGAAAAGAATTGTATCGACTGAGATTTAGTTCACCGGTTGCACAACTTAGTGAGGCAGAGTTGACAAGGCCCGTAATAGCGCACTATTCATTTACCGTAAATTAGCACGTTATCCGGTCGTGATTATCAGCTGTCCACCGTCGCACTCATTAGTGTTGACGATAACACAAGTTTGTCTTATCCGGCGGTCGGTAGATAGGACAGGTAAGGGGGTTCAGCACCGCGAGACAACTCGGCGACTATGTAAACTAATTGATCTGTGACTTACATCCGCCGTACGTGCCGTGTGATTTTTCATCAGTGCATTATTGTTTTTTTGTATTTCGCACCTCACTGTTTACCAGTTTTTATAATATTATTATAATTTAAATAAAGTTAATCGACTCCATAACGGTGTTACGTTGTATTATTATTAATAACCTTTTTTAAAAAATATCGTGTCAACTTCATCATTGTGTTTGGGGCAGAAGGGGGAATGGTGTAGAGACATGTTAAAGACATGACTAGGTAACCGATTATGACCAAATCTAAGACGGGAAAAAGAGATAATATGGAAACGGGACAGAGGGAGGTTGTATAACCAAGGACGTTTAGGGATAGTTGGAACTATAGATTTATGCCAGTTAGCTAAAGAAAAATTTGACCATTTATCTTTCCATGCTTTATTAATAGTTGGAAGAAAAGAGGAAAGGAGATCGGAAGAGGGAATTTTTAGAGGTGGTTTGTTGAAGGAGTTAGTCAGTTTGGCCAGATGGTCTGCTATCTCATTGCCAGATATTCCGACATGATTGGGGCACCATAAAAATTCAACATTGATGTCCATTAAATAGAGACTATAAATTAAGGCTTTAATTTTCATTATGAGGAAGGATCTACAATTTTTAAAAGGAACCGAGGAAAGAGATGATAAAACTGACAGTGAATCCGAGACAATCAGAACATTTATTATATTGAGCGATTTGACGAACTCGAGAGCCCAGGATATCGCATAAGATTCGGTGGTAAATGAACAAGCTTTTGAAGGGAGATTATCTGAGAAATTAATGTTTAGACTAGGAATAAAAAAGGAAAAACCGGCGGAATTAGTATAAACTGAGCCGTCAGTAAATATGAGGCAATAGTTAGCAAAACGAGAGGAAATGAGTTCATCAAAAAGATAATTGACGAAATTAGTTGGGAGAGATTGTAATTGAGGATTGCTATAAGAAAGTAATAGATGATTAAAGTGAATTTTTGGAAAATGAGTAAGTACATGAAATGGAATGTCGTATATAGATAGGCGATTGAATGAGGTAATTATGGAATTAAGGTAAGGAATCAAGGTAGTAGAAATTGAGGCTAGTAGAGGAAGAGTTTTGGGTACATATCGCCAAAGTGAGCTTAGTGAATGAAAACAATGAAATATTAACTTGGCAGGACTGGATATCTGTTTTAAAAGGAATTTATAGGCTAAGTAACGAGATTGAATTTCAATTGGAGGGCATACACATTCAACTTCTTAACTTATATTAGGGGTAGAGTAAACTGCACCTATAATTGTGCGTAAACAAGTAGTAATGCGAGTAGAGAATTGATTTTTTTACGATGAACAGTGGAAGCCGAGGCGTATAAAAAGGAACCATAGTCAACTTTAGAACGGATAAGAGCCTTAAAAATAAGTAAGAGTGAGGAGGGGTGGGAGCCCCACCAGGTGCCTGTGTTGTGCGGGCCCACGTGGTAAAAGGAATTAAACTTAATAAGAAAAAGAAAACACTCACTTTTCAATAAAACTTTAGAATATATAATTTTATTGACACAATTAATAATACAATACACGTTATTTATTAATGTTAATACAAATGAATAGAATAATAAAATATAATGACATAGAATGATATAGAATGATATAGAATGAGTGTAACTAGCGCATACTAAACCACGACTGACTGTAGGGTACCTACAGTGGGAGTCCTTTGCCCATGGTTGCCCTAAAACCCTTGGTCAGCACATTCCTGTGTTCGACGACAGTCGGACGACCATGTATTATATACTCTACACAATTATAAAATAATATTCAGGGGTTCTTAACACCTGCAATAGAACGTAGAAGATTACTGCCGTGCTAAGCAAAAACAGGATAACTCCAAAATTAAAAAAAAAATTTTTTTTGTTTCTATAGGTAAATTTAGTGGTTTTACGCCGATTTTTGATGTAAAAATAGCATATTTCCTATTAAAACCCATCTAAAATTGTAATATAAAATAAGTAAAATATACGGTTAGTTCAATATATTTGATGTTTTGTAAGCGAAAACACGGTAAATCCAAATACTAAACAAAAACTTGGTATATCACATAATAAAATTTTTTAGCTATGGTCCAAAATTCAGAGATGGACGTTGAAGGGTGTAGATTGCTGCATAAATTTAACCAAGAGTTTTTTTTTTCCTTTTTTATAATTTTAGTTGTGTTGGATTTTGATTTTTGATATGTTATAAAGTCATGAAGAGAACCTGAGGATCTGTATTTTTTGAAATGAAAGGAGCGCATTTTAACTGCAGTGGTGCAGGTTGAGTTCCACCAAGGAGGAGAATGGCTAAAACTAATATTGTTCGAACGCTTACGCGGGATTGAAAGTTTTGCTGCTTTTATTAGGATATCAACAAAATTGTTATAATTTGTTGTAGGGGAGGTGGATTCAGACCAAGATTCGAGTAAGGTAGAGACAATTAGAGAGAAAGAGATCCAATCTGCTAAGTCTAAATTAAACCTTCAGTTATCTGAAACATTGGAGTCACAGTTAAAGCGACCCATACTCTGAGTGGGCTGTATAAAAAGACTTGTTACAATAGGATAGTGGTCGCTACCGTGAGGATCACCCAAAACATACCAAGAAGAGGACAAGGAAATATTAGGGGAGCACATTGTTAGGTCAACAGCAGTATCCGGGAACAATGGCCGGTTAGCTCTAGTTGGAGCGCCTGTGTTCAGAATACATAAATTATGCTATTAATTACGTATTGATGTGTGTTTGTGGGGGCGCCTCACTTGCGCCTCCTCCGGCGCCTCACTTATAATCTCCCCGGCGCCTCACTTATAATCTCCTCCGGCACCTCACTTATCAAAATTATTAGCGCCTCCCTTATCAAAATAAAAATTCAATTTGATAACAAATAATAGCGCCTCACAACCTCCCACTTCAAAGATGATTGTATTCTTCCCCCACTCCTGTTATTTAATATTGGTATAAAACACAATCGCTCGTGAAAATCAATCGTATTGTATCTTCGTTTTCTTACTCGTATGTGTAATCAGTGAAGTANCATTGACCGAAGAAAATCTATATGCGTTGAAAGAAATGAAGTCATGTCTCCTGGAAGTAACCAAAGAGAAATATGAAACATGTAACTTATTGTACATGCAAAGTAAAGAAGTTTACGAAAAAGTAAAGGATTTGGTTATAAACAAGTTTTTAGTATTACCCGAAAATTTAATGTATTCCATCGTGAAAAGTATGGATATATCGTTATTGCCAAAGACATCAACAGCACTGTACAAAGAAATAGTTACCTTCGATTATAAATGTATCATTAAACGTATATGGGAACAATTCATTGAGGATTTCAAACATCAAACCAATCAGGATGTTAAGCAGATGACAAATGAAAATATAAGGTAGATATTTCACTAAATTGTTTATGCTAAAAATACTAAATAAAATTAAAATTTTTAGTAAAAACGATGACCAACAAGATCATTTGGAAAATCACAACGAAAATGTACAAGATGATAATGTTCACCGTATAAATAATGATTTATCTAATCCATTTAATGATCAAATTCAAATATGGGAAAATTGTAACGATTTATTTGGTTAACAAAATAAAAAAATATTATTAACAATAATTGTAAACAATTTTGAAATGATATAATTGTATTGTAAAACATTTTTTAATTAAAATAAAAATTATTATATATACTAACTGTTTGATAATTGATTAAAAAAATTTTCTATCAAAATAATATATACAATCAACAAATTTGTGAGATAAGAATATATAACTATTGTATATCTTCTCATTCTTTATTGTGTTATTAAACACACATTATTAAATGCTTTATGAAAATAAAATATGTAACTTATAGTTATAAATGCATACTTGATGAGTATATTATCAAGAAAATTTAATTTCTCACAAAAGCAGATACGATAAATTTAATTCATATTTCTATAACTCCAGTCATCGTTTCTATGATTACATATCACTTAAAAAGAAAAAAATTTAAATGCTGCTAGATAAGACAAAATGCTGAAATAATATTTTAAATGCATGTATATATAATACGCAAGTTGGTTATTTTATGATTTAAACAGTTAGCATTTAAATAACACATAATCAGCAAATTTTAAGACAAAAATATAACGAAGTAAATTTAAAAACTGATATATATCTCACAGTACCCATTCCAGCAATTGTTTTTAAAACGTCAACCAATTTTAAACCAATCGCAGTGTCAAAAGAAATGCTAATTCATCATTTTGAAATTCTACTGTAAGATTGTATAAGAGTATGTGTGATCACCACAGTCATTCGATCAAAAGCGTTATAAGCAACATGTCATTACAAAGTATTAACAACGAAGAATTTTTACAAATTCTAAATAATATGAAAAGTGAACCGCTGTCTCCACTACTTAGCGAAGAAGAATTCGCAGATATAATAAACGAGATGAAAATTGAACCACTTTCGCAAACAATGGTAAGTAATTTAAAAATAATTTTATTTATGCGATTATAATAAAATATATATATTTTCGCAGTCTCAAGAATTATTACCAGATTTTTGGAATATGGATGATTATTATTTAAATATAGTTAATGAAATAGAAAATCCTGCATCATATTCGATGATCGATGCGGGGCAACATCAAACTTGGTTAAATGAAACGGTATGTGTTTAATATTTTATATATATTTAAAAAATTTTCATGTTTTTATTATAATAATAGAATCAGTTAAATAATGAATCAGTTAATGGAAATTATCTTCATCTCGGAGCACATCCATGGTTGAATTTTGATATGAAAGAAGATTTATTGGACCTAATAACACATGGAACGTGGGTTGATGATGTAAAGACATCAGATTACCAAGAAATGATAAGTAAGTAAAAAAAAAATTATAAATCTGTTTTAAATAGTAATAAAATTATTATCGTGTTTCAGAAGACGTTAGGAGTTGGAATAATGAATTTGACTAGCTATATTCAAAGAATATGAACAAAAACATTGGAAAAAAAAAAAGATAAATAACTATTTCAATAACAATAGTAATAAATAAATTTATAAATATGTTAATAATGTATAATATTGTAAATAAATTTAAATTTAATCATTAAATGTAAAACATAAATAACTAAAAATTATAACTAATTATGTACAATAGTAATTGTTTTAAATTAAAAAAAATATTATACTTATATTAATTTTTTATTTCATAAATTAAACCACCTTGTGTACTTCGCTAGTCATAGCGTTATACTCGAAAATCTTATCATGTAGTATAAGACAATATGCTGA